TTTCCATAACTACAATGACCTCGTACCTTTCATTTCTTTTTGACCCCGTTACCTTATACACCTCTCGAATGGCTGCTGAGCTCAGCTGCTGCGTTTTTTTTTTTCGTGTTATCTCTCCTTTCCGCCTCTACGTCATAAACTGAACTAGTTCTCTGACAATTAACAATGACAAATATTCAATTCCGCCTTCTGGGCTTCCATGTCATGTCTTGAAAATAACTGACAGAAGATCTTGCTCATGTGGTACAGTACGAACCCCACTGTTATACGTGATACCCCCACGTATTTGTGACGCTAGCTTGACAAGATATTCAGTCCTTCGCGGAGAAACTTCCAGCTTGCTTCTGCTCCCTGTCATCGACGTTTTCTCTTTCAAAGACTCCGACTGGTCTTCGAAATCTAAAGCGCTAAATGATTCTTCTTTTCAAGTGGCTCCCTATCATCATGGACCCGGCATTTCCTTACCCGCCCTCCCCCCAACTTCCAAAAGAATCATCAAGAAACTCGAGAAGCTTTCTGTATGATCATCGTCATTATATGGTATGTATAATATCCTCGGTCTCGCTGTGACAATGTATCCAAAGAAAGATCAGAACCTCTAGTTCAAATGATTATGTCTTTGAACTTTTCAACGCGTTAACGGCCAGTACGTATTCACGGTCGGTCTCGCTGTGACAATGTATCCAAAGAAAGATCAGAACCCCCTGGTTCAAATGAGCCTCTTCAGCGTCAACTTCCTCTGCAAATCAGCGCTCGGGTATATGTCCAAAAATACAAGCTTATCTCGAACTTACAGCTACAAACTCGGGCCATGAGACCTCAGGTTGAAGGATTTTACTTCCGCTGAAGTTTACTTTATTATTATTAGAAACTGCCGCCGGCCAGATCGATGCTACAGTAATGTCTGTCGACAGAAGGCGTTATGATTGACAAGTTACACCTATGTGCTCGGAACCTTCGTTATACCCGCTGGTTCACCCTTGAAGCTTCCCGGGAAGGCTTACAAGAGCCTAATACCAACTCTGTAGTCAGTACATATGCCTGAAGAACTGGAAAAAAAATCATATGCATTCTGTGTGCCTCTACTGAAGAAACCAGGGTTCGAACTTTGCTTCAACTTTGTCCAGCCTACATACACATTCACCATTGACAAAAGCTTCTCGTTGCAAGACTCTCACAACAACAAATCCCAGGTATTCATGCTCTTGACTTCGCTTCGCACTTCTTCTTCGAACTCCTACTTAGCCTACCACAGAATAACCGCATGCCAGTTCTCAGAGTCTCACGCGGCGGCGGTGGAGAAAAACGCTGCTTGCTGTTCTACACTTTACTCATAGTTGGTATCTCTCTCTCTCTCTCTCTCTGCATCCTCAATAGAAAGAGATTGGACCGTGCCGGTTCTCCTTTCCTCATTCAAGCTCAAGTCTCAACGTTTCAACGTTTCAACTCTCCCCGCCGCATTATGTATTATGCTTGGTTGCCTTGGCCTTTGCTCCGAGTCTGTGACAGATACATACAGGCTGCCCAGAACAATCCGATATTCCCGATAATCACAACGAGCAAGTTTCAGGGAGACACAGCAAAGGCAAGGGGCAAGAGGAAGTGCAAGTAATTATAAGTAGTTTCGAGCCTTTCTCGTTATTGACCACCTCGTTACTACTATGGAATTTCGAGATTGCATGGGGATCAATGGGGCCGTGCCGGTTATCCTTTCCTTGCCTTTCCGTTCCGGAATCTGACTCGGCTCGCTCATTGCGGATTCTAGCAGTGCTTTTCGAGTGATTTTGCACAGAGATTTACACAGATATTGATTAGTTCACAGAGATTGCAACTAAGCGCGGTTTCTGCGTTAGGTTTGTGTCCTGCGTTAGGTCGTATTCTGCCTCATCAAGATTTGTCCTATATATCGATGAACTTCGATGATGACGGTCACCGGTGTAAAAACAAAATACTAATCAATGGGTCCTACTGTCATTACTGCTGTCCCCGACACTCGTCCACACACCCTTCTCTTGAATTCTCATCTCGGTGGTTACAAATATAGTACTATAAGGTTCAATAAAAGAATGAAAGGCTTTCAGTCGGTAAACAGTAACACGTACTTACTTGAGTTATTTATGTATTTCCTTGACGAAACGATAGTTCAAGGACTGTTGGTGTGATGTTGCAATTGTCAACCTGGTGTGTACACGTTCTCCCAATGCAATGGTAGGCAATGGTCCGCGACCGCTTGACACGGATTGTCTGTAGAAGAGATAGATCTCTCCAAGATCTCTGCATTGTGGAAGATATGTGGGTTCCACTAGTCAGTAGTCTCTACTACACAGCATGAGACAACATGTCGAATGTTCTAGCAAAAATCAAAACATCTTTCCGCGATTGAATGCGCTTATTTTTACCTATTGGTGCCAAAACCCTTGCGCTAAGCCCAATTTTCGACTCTGAGCGCCGAGAAGCGCCGAGTAGGTCAGTAGGTAAGAGAGCAAGTTAAAGCACCTGCACGCACACTTGATGTAGATAGACAAGTTCAGAACCGCAGTGAATTCGTCTATACATAGATCACTTGTTGTATGTCTTATATTATATTTTGTTAGTGCCGGTACTGCTTGTACTAGCTCGGTTTTTGGGGCGACATTCACTCAATCGTACACACAAGTTGTGTTCATGTTACTGTACTACTACATACTACACTGTAAGTGAAGTCAGTACATAAATAAGTGAATACTTGACTTGCATTAAAAAAAGGTGCGATCGCACCTGTGACCCGATCGCACTCAGTCCGGGATGGTAAGGATTTAGATCTTGGATTGAGTGTTTGCAAGTATTGCTGATTGATTACCTTACTATTACTTTCTACACGCACTAATTACCAGGCGTGCAGTTCGTGAACGCTTCAACCTTAGCTTCAAAAGCAAAAACCGCAATAAACCCATAAGGCCAGCCTCCAGATGCACCGGAGACCCTTGAGGTTTGGGATCTTGGATCGAGTTCAGTATCAGATAACTGACTGTAGTCGCTTTTAATTAGGACTTACGAGCACTTACCGTGCAACTAGTCAACTGACAATAGCCACAATGGACAGAAACCGCAATAAACAGCAACAACCCCTGTAAATGCACCTAAAAGACCCTTGAAGACCCTTGAAGAACTCCTGTACTCAATACTACTTACCCACTTCCTATTAGCACTTCCGTTTCATTGAATCCAAGCTCCGATGACAACCTTCCGTTGTTCCTGCTGTGGTACTTGGCAGGACCGAGCGCGAGAGAGAATCGGCTCGAATCTGTCGGCTGGAGACTAAATGGACAGCGATGGTCAGGGAGTAGTGTACGGACTACGGTCGAGCGTGTGTATGCCTGGTGTCGGACAGATAATCGAGAATTAGTCATCGATGGTCGAGCCCAGGGCCCTCCAGAGGGGCTAGTGCGTTCCATACCAGTCTATAACCTCCGTAAAATTTCAGTGGTCTCGGACGTTGCAGGATACTGTATATTTGCTGGTCTGATGGGTCTTTGAAAAAATGAAAAAATGTTTAGAGGAAGAAGAAGCGACGACGAACGAAGCAGATCCAAAGGCCGAGAAAAATGAAGGGAATACATACATACGTATAAAGAAATAGTATTCCATCCGATACGCCCAGAATCGCAGAAAGTGAAAGGTCCAGGTCACCTGTGGAGGTGTATCGATTAGTTGGCGGAAGCAGGAAGCGGTTGGAACTTGTACTTTTAGATTTTTTATTTCTGGTAGCAGGAGTAGCGTTAGCTCTGGTAAACGTCTCCCTCAATGAACTGATAAGTATTGTCAATGAAAATCAGGCACCTTCTGTCTACCCTTAATACACCTCTTGATACTTGCACGAGTTTGAAAGGATCTATCAAGTTCTTTTCTTATTCTTATTAAACCATCTTGGGCCCTATTCTTGTGGTTGCAGAGCCCCCCGCTTCCGTTATAAACGAGCTGGCTCGTCTTCAAATTATCTTTGCGCGTGTTTGTTTTTGAGACGATACGGGAGAACTAAGCCGATAATCACTTGGGACTTCAGGGCATTGTGGAGCTCGGCAAGGGTTTCGGAACTTACTTGCAAAAGAAAAGAGCTTAAAATGTCTGCCGGTGGGGAAACGAATGAATTTCTTGATTATCGCGAGAGTGAGGAGGAAATTGAACGCTTGACTGCTTGGGACTTGTGAAAAGAATATATACGCAACATCTTGCATCCCATACAGACAAAAGTTCTGATTTCACGACCTTCCCTGCTTTGGTGAACGACTTTGCGAAGGGATTAAATACGGGATTTCAGGAATTCGGAACGGTTGGAAGAGAATTGGAGCCGGAAGCCGGAAAGCCTTGGATGCGGAAGCATGTCGGAACCGGAATGTTGAAAGGTGCTGAAGGACGAGGTGTTCAGTTGGTTTTGGTTCATGAAGGCAGGACTTGCGCAAGAGATCAAAAGATGATCGAGGAAGATTTCGGAGCTTCATGGAGTAATGAATAAACGAATGGAGCTTCCTACTCCTCTAATTCTTCTCTATTGCGGCAACTCCTCAGCCGTGGTCTAGTACTTGAAGCTGGTATGTGGCGTGATGGATCAGGCAGATGGATATACTGATAGATATCGATAGTACCTGATAGTACCGAGAGTAGCTCGCTATCGTCCGTCGCATATGAGCGCTGAAGCCAAGGTAACGTCGGCCTGCGTTAATTTGTAATTTCGAAAAGGTGGCAAGTAGCAGTTCATCGATTTTTCCACGTTCAGAAGAACAAAGTTGAAGGAAAGAAACAGAGAAAGCCTGAGAGAGCCTGAGCAAGCGTGATCCGAACCTGATATTTGCCGGTATGCCGATAATCTAGACCCGACGTTCTCATGATCACCCGTTTTCGTTGGTTGGTCTCTTCCACTCCTTCGCTCATCAAGGAGGATGTAAGAATGAGTGTACTGGCAAATATTCACTGTATTTTGTTTATACTTTTTATGAGGGAGCAGACCTTCAGTTTTCTGCCAAGGTTCAGTAGTGTAGAGGTTATCACCCGGGATTCTGATCGCAGCTTTTCCCTCTCCTGCTCACCTTCCCGTAACCCAGGTTCGAGTCCTGGTTGGACCTTACTGATTTCGGTTTAGAATCTGTTTTTGTTCGAGTGTATATCAACACAATTTATATTGAAGCCCGGGCACTACTTCCCTTACAAGCTATCTACCTGTAACCCCACATCGCGGTGGTCCCACCTGAGGCCCAACGCCGTATGAAGGATTATGAAGGGGCCAATGCAGGTTTTCGACCGGATGTTCGGAAAAACGACTTGGGAATGCGGGAGGTTGTCTAGGTTATGGATGCGCACAAGGCGAGGGATTCAGATTCGCTTTGTGACCGTATATAGATGTTGTTCGATGGAATATGTCGGAGAGAGGTTAGGGAATTAGTCCTCAGTCCCGTTACTATCATGATCAGGATCGGTGTTTTCTTGGGCTCTGTCTCAGCCATGGCTGCCCAAGACGTGGCTCCGACCGTCTCCTAGGAAGGCCAATAGATCATGTTCGTGAATCGTCACCACAACGAGCCTTCTCGTGAAGTCAAACACAGGATTGGACAGCATAGCATCTTAGCTGAGTTCTGGAAGGATTGAAGGGTAGGAGAAGAAGGATACCGACGCTGTCGACAAGACATTTTGAGGTAAGTGAATAGACGATTGAAGCACATCAGGTCAACAAGAGCCCATCCGCCACGACTTCGGTAAAGACTTACCGAAATATGGATATGCCGGCGACATTGCACAAGCCAGTACTTATTTACATATATCCTGAGTAATCGTCGCAGTTCTGTTGATCAGCAGGCAGACATTTCACTCGACGGACTGCTCTTACCAGAGCCTATCAGGTATACACAAGGCTGTAAGTTTCACAAGTTCACATAACATGGTACCACAAGTACATCGGTACAACTACATTCATGACTCGAAATTTCTTATCACCCCCTCTTTAAAGGGCGCGTACAACCAGTGTACAACCTCCCAGCGAGAACGTACAATCTGAATAACTTCAGTTCAGACATGAAAATAACTCATTGGGAAGAAAGAAGACATACAGAAATTCAACTTGTGTAAATATCTCCAATTATGCTCAGCTCTGAACGGACGGATTCGACGATGAGTTGTGATGTTCGAGCAATCTACAATGAAAATTTTAACTCACGACAAATTTCGCCGGGTTACTGAACGAACAACAGATTAGCCTTGACAACGAAAAGAATGGCACGAAAAGATTGACTTACTACTCCTCAACGGTGACGTCGCCCGTGAAGATTGTGTCTCCCCGGGAAGTGACCGTCACACTGATTGGACCTCCGTCTCCGGACCCAGTCCCAAAGGCAACATTGCAAGGTAAAGTTGGCATACACTTGGTACCCCCTACGAGGGTGAACAGGAGGTTTGCTTGCTGTTTGGTCGGCACATTCTCTGCGAGTATCACGAAATTACTCCCAAGTCCGAGGTCTGTAGCATGCTGATCGAGAAGGCTTTGCGCCACAGCAAGAAAGTCGGTAGATTGCATGCTGACGAGGGAGCCTTGACTGTTGTCGATAAAGTTGACTGTGACCCTGGGCGGGTCGGATCGACGCAATTGCGACACGACATGGACCTAGATGATTTGAGGAGGTGGGGGTCAGCTCATAATTCGTACAGAATCAAGAAGGGATACGTAGAATATACGCACAGGCAAAGGTGCAGCGCAGACCGTAGAGACGATTCCGAAGAAGAGACAGACGAAGACAGAACTGACACGCATGATGGGTGAAGGAGATAAGGTAGTTGGAGGAGTTCGAGATGTGAAGAGTGCGAGCGAAGGGAACCGGAGGCAAGACCAGCAAGCTGAGGGAATTGGACGTTGGCATTGCTCTATTTAAGCATGCGATTCGTAGCCGATGTAAGATCGATGTCAACCAGGGCTGATGGGAGACAAATATCGAGGAATATCAACCGGCTAGCCTTTTTAGATAGATGAACCTTGCCTTCATTCTTCCTCCAACTATACCTCAGGTGCCGGTGTCCGAGAAGAACTCATCTCACCACTCGAATCAGAGGTAAGAAAAGCAAAAATGAACCCAAGTTGATCAGTCAGAGACTCGAGAGGAAGGAGAAATGGTGATATTACACCGACGGTCCATGCGACGGAGGTTGCCAGAAGGTAAGATGGGCGTGCCTTATTTGAAAAGTCACAAAAAATCCCCGTCTTGTTGCGATAAGCCAACCCAGCAAACCTTTTGGAAGTGCAATTGAGAGAATTTGAGACCAACGAGCAAGGACGAAGTCTTCAAGAAATGTCCACTGAACGGAGAATAGAGACGGAGAAAGCACAAGAGGCCGGGCCGGCGTAACCGATTCCGCGAGTTCAAAGTGTGCCTGCACATCAAACACGGTCCAATTCCGGGTGGAATAGATCTTGCAAGCAAGGTGACAGAGAATCACTGCCCACCGTCAATGGGTGACTTCCCGCTGCAATTATTCTGCAGTTAACCTGCAGTTAACTGTTAACAGTATTTGATGCGACGTACGGACTGTTGATGGGACCTTCGCTTACACCAAAAACCAGTTTACAACAGGGTAGGGTGGCCGTTGTAAGTTGGTTTTGATGCAGTTTTTGAGAAGCCGCTGTCCGGCCATCTTCGCTTAGGTTTGCTTATATTGGTGGCACAAATTAATTGTCTGGTGTCTTGCAAATAATTCCTACGGGAAGTCATCCAATTTTGACCAATGTTCAACTTATGAAGTACTGCTACGTAGGTTTTGATCTTTCAGCTTCAGCGCTAGCATCCCAGCTGACCTCATCTTAGTACCAGCCCCCACCATGCAATATATTGAACGGTGTCCAAGCTATCAACACATCTTGCAAATTTGATTTAACTTGGCGGATTAGGCCCATCAAAACCAAGAAGTTCTCCCTGGTTTTCCAGGACCCCCCAAAGTACTATATGAACCTGGGTACCAAAAATTCTGGAAATTGGCTAAATTTGTCTGGACAAGAGGTCGAATTTTTGTCCGGATTTTGCCAGGACCCCGGACTATAGGCTGTAGGGACTTATCCCAGTTCGCATCATAATGGCACCCGAAATGAGGGTGTACCCATGCTCTGGGTTCGCATCATAGTGGCCACCGCAGGTGAACCTCCAGCAAAAGTTCGCATCATACTGGCCGAAATTTGATAGATTTTGGGCCGGTCGCAGGCCATTGCCTCATACGACCCATCAATGCATCATGGTCAAGTAAAATTGAACATTTTCTTGTGACTAATATTTGACCTCAAAAAGCCTCAAAACGATCAGAAACGGGTAAAACGCGAAATTTTGGCAGTTTGTCAGCTCAGAACGAATGCAGCAAACTAGAGTCTTTGAACATGCACGTGATGCGAGTTCGTTGCTCTTGCCACGAACCACCATCATGTCCATTTGTAGACTCCGTGCAGAAACTCAGCGCATTGGCGTGTCGAGCTCCGTTTTCTTTGGTATTCTCCCACCATTTTGAGCCATTTTGATGGCCAGACCCCAGTTTGCATCATAGGCATGGAATTTTTGGCAAATTTGGTTTGCATCATAGTGCTTGGTCTTGAGAATTTTTCGGATAAGATATTCTGGTCTGTAGTCTGGGGTCCTATTTTGCCCCAGGTATGTCAAAAAATTTCGGGGCTTGTCCGGACATGGTATCAAGGTCCCAGCTGGGCCGGTATTGTGATGAGGCAGGAAGCGGGAGGCGGGAAGTCAGAGTACGCTGAAGAGCAACAACGAGGAGGCACAGAGACAAGCACAAAGCACAGATAAAAGGAATAGTGATCTCGAACAATAGTGGGATAGCGTCAGAGGCCAATCACACCAATAATCAAAAGGGAATCTAGTTGCCCAATGACCAAGTTAGATAAGTAGTATCTAAGGGGATACAAGTACTTGCCTAGTTGCCCAATGACCAAGAGGTCGAGATGGGGAACTAGGATCTGCCTACTGCTTTTTATATACTACTTCTGTCTAATGAGTAAGCGATTGTAAATAACGATGCAATATGGAACAAGAGTGAGGAATCAATATATACGAGTAATAATGAGTCAATAATGAATCATAACGAGCTAATCAATGAATAAGGATGAGTTGTATGGAAGCATATGGAAACAAATAGAAATATTGGGATGGTCATGTGAACAAGTACAATAAACATGTGAAAAGAGATTGATGGGAACACACCACACTGATGGCGCATCAAAGGGCACATCATGAGACTTCATGACATTACCCCCTTCCTTAGAGTCGATGTCCCAGCGACTGATTCACTTTGGTAAAGTTGACCACTGGCTGCCATGGTAGTGAGTAAAAGATCGTTGCTGAAATCTTCCTTGGTGCATTTGGATGTGCCACATAAAATTTGTTAATGGCTTCGTCACTGGATCCTACCACGTTTTCCTCATTTTCCCAGGTGTCATGGCCCTCGTCGTAGCCTTTCCACCGGACCAAGTACTGCAGCTTCTTCCACTGTCCATGTATCCTGCTGTCCAGGATCCTGTCTACTGTAAGACCTGGGTCAGAATAGGTCTTAGGGTAGGTTTTGGTATAAGGAGTTTGTGTTGTAGCGTGCTAGGAGCAGGCTGGAGCTATGGAAACCACAACCGAGGACAGGAATGACCTAGTAGTGGCTGAGATAGAGAGATGTGACCCTTGAAGGGGTTCCCATAAGGTCCAGGGAGGTAGAGATACGGAACCTAGTAGCGTTGCATAGGAGGAGTTGTACTCGCTAGAACGTCAATGTAAGATCGAATAGGTCGTAGAGAGAATGGGTCTTGAGTGTATAAGCTCCTGAGAAGATATGCACCTGGGAGGGGAGGTCCCGGGAACTGGGGCTTAGAGGTGGACGTCCTTGAGTGTTGGAGGTGGTAACGGAGAAGCGGCATGTAGTTCGATGTAGGGGGTAGCTTCGACGTTACCTAGATCGAGGTCCCAGAGCTTGTGAAGCAATTGGGGAGCTCGAGGAGGTTTTGGGGAGGTTGGCTCACCAAGGCATTAGGCGTTGGGGAGCTTTAGTATTGTTCGAGGGAGCTCGGAGACTCACTCGGATTGCTTAGACATGAAGTAAA